CAGTTTTGTTGTTGCTCCAGGTGGTATCATAAATCCAATTTTTATTGGCCAAAGGTGTAACTCCATGCACTAGGTTTTATATTCTAATTCAAAACAATTAGATTAAATATGAAAATTAAATCGACATTTGCACTAGCCACATTTGAAGTTGTCAATAACCTAGCCACAGGTGCTAGTGGAAATTGTATTAGATAGTGCAGTAGTAGACACTCTAATCTATATTTCAATTGAATAAATATATGGAAGCTAACATGATTCCATAATCTCATTTTCAGACTTCATTTCAGTATAATATGTTTTTAGGGAAAGTTATTTAAGAAAAATGAAATAAAAAGCATTAGAGATAGAAGTGCCAGATTAACCCTAGAGCAATGATTGCAGATCATTTGTTTTATAGAAACTGATGGAGAAAAGTCACGTGTGATGGAGGACTGGGGTTAAAAGCTAGAGAAGCGAGGAGATTGAAATGGGTGTTAGTGTATATAAGATGTATCGATCATGTAAGTATTGGAGTTAACTCTAACAATTCCTTCAACTTACTTTTAATTTCTTTGGTTTCTGCTCCTATAAGATTATTTCTTTGCTTTAGGTCTATTTTACTCTCATTTGGTTAATTTGAGTCTTTTTACCATTTCCAATGTAAGCATGTGATGCTAAAAAATTCCTTTTCAGAACCACTGTAGTTATAGCCTGCAAGATTGATGTACTGTATTCTCATTTTCATACAGTTCTACATATTTTTTGAGACTTTCTCCTTGATCCACAGATTATTTAGAGTATGTTTTCTAATTTCAATGTAGGGCAGTGTCTGTGGCTCAGTGGGTAGAGTGCCAGCCCCATATACCGAGGGTGGCAGGTTCGAACCCTGCCCCAGCCAAACTGCAGCAAGAAATAGCCGGGCATTGTGGCGGGCACCTATAGTCCCAGATACTCAGGAGGCTGAGAGAAGAGAATTGTCTAAGCCTAGGGGTTGGAGGTTGTTGTGAGCTGTGATGCCATGGCACTCTACTGCGGGCAATAAAGTGAGACTTGGTCTCAAAAAATAATAATAATTTCTATGTAGTTAGATTATTTCCATGTTCTTTTTCTGCTATTGATTTCCAATGATTCCATTATGAACAGTGTACACACTTTTTATGATTTTGATATTTTAAATTTGTTGAGGTTTGTTTTATAGTTCTGTATAAGGTCTATCTTGGTAATGTTCTTTGGGTTCTTAAAAAATATGTATTATTTTCTTATTTGGTAGGGTGTTCTATAATATATATGTTGCTTAGTTCCTGCTTAATTGTATTCAAATCTCCTATGTCTCTATTCATTTTCCATCTAGTATTCTATCAGTTTCAAAGAAAAGGGTGTCAAAGTTACTACATATAAATGTAGATTTGTATATTTTTCCCTTCTTCCCTATAAGCTTTTGGTTCATGTATTTGTAGGCTCCTAGTTGCTTGCTATATATACATGCAAGATTGTTATGCCTTCCTGGTGGTTCACTCATTTCACATCATGTAATGTGTCTTTGTTTATACTAAATTTTTTGTCCTAAAGTCTATTTTATCTGATATTAATATAGTCACTAACTCCTGTTTTTTTAAATTAATATTTGGGTGGTATATTTTTTTCCTATCCTTTAAATTTCAACCTAATTGTGTTACTGAAATTGAAGTGAGTTTCTTGTGGACATTATTTAGCTGGATTGTAGTTTTTTATCCACATTTCTGATCTATGACTTTTACTTGATGTATTTAGAACATCTATAGTTAAGATAATTATTGACATATTAGGCCTTACATGCCATTTCATTGTTTTCTGTTTCCTCTATTTCCTGTGTTTCTCTTTCCTTGCCTTTTTGAAGGTTATCTGAATATTCTTTCTAGATTTCATTTTGATTTATTTTTGTCATTTTTTTGAGTGTATTACTTAGCATAGTTTTCAAAGTGGTTGTTCTGTATAAGAATGATGTATATTGTCTTTACTGACTTGTAGTGTATTGGTATCAACATTTTACCACTTCAAGTAAAGTGTGGTAAAATTATATCTGTTTAAATGCCTGCATTTTCACAACTTCTACTTCTAGTCTAAGTACCATTGTCTTGAGTCCCAGATGGTGCTATACTTCTTGTTTCCATCATCAAATATGGTGTAGAAAATTCACGATGAATACGATATCCATACTTCTCCTTTTTTCTATTGCTCTTCCTTCCTGGTACCCCAAATTTCTTTTTTTTTTCTATTATTTTGTTTCTCTTTGAAGACTTTTCACTAGCAATTAGGATATTTTTATTTATCCTTTATTCCTGAAGGATAGTTCTGCAGATAAAGAATTATCAGAGTATCCAATGTACTCAACACTACTATGAAACTAATTGTTAGCTATCTTAGGAAAGCTACAATCCAAATGGAGCCCTAGAATA